AATATAATTTAAGACAGAGTATAATTATTGTATTGTAAACCCTGTGTGTAGCTCTGGGAAGTCGGGGGGGAAGGGAGGGGGGTGGGAAAGGGTGGGGCTTGAGGGAGGTGGGGAGATATATTGTAAAAATTTTCAATAAAAAAAAATAAAAAAAAATCACAGGTATTTTTAGAAGATCACAACCATGGTTGACTTTAGCTCTTCATTTTCTTTATGGGTCTATCCACTGAGCTGAGAAAAAAGACAAAAGCAAACTGAGATATAAACGCATCAGTTTGCATTCCAAAACATTGGAATTTTTTTGATTAACCACCCCCATTGTGACAGTTCATGGTTAGCATTTTCCTTGTAAAGAGGAAAAATTCCCCATGATTCAGTTTATTAGTGGAGACCCCACAATCTGCTTCAGCTAAGCTTATCGGAACAGGACTGGGGACAGATCATCAGGTTCTGCCCACTGAAGTAGGATACAAACAACCTTTTTATAGTGGTTTAATAAATGCTGACCCAGTAATTTTCTGCTTTTGGTGAAATAAGAGGAGGAATAAAATGGAGATTGGCACATTTTTGGACATTTTTGTGGTTAGTTACTGTACTTTCTGGTTCCCATTTCAAAATATCAGTGCGGATTTAAGATAAATTATGACCCAGAAGCTACAAAAGCAAGCAATTTAGGAAGTTTACTTGAGTTCAGGAGTCTTGATAGTTTAGAGGTCTTGGTTCAGGTCTTTGTTTTACTTCTTCTTCTTCTGCACACCCAAAACATATTCAAAATGTTATAGTTCCCTGCTGGGCCAAAAGAGTTAGGGATCTTGGCTCACTGGCTGCATGCACCAGACATAGGATGTTACAAGACGTTGGTGTCGTTAGAGATTTTACCCCAATGAAACGTCTTTCACTGAAGTCCATTCTTTTTGCAGCTGTCTTTTGTGGCGATCCAGGAATCCCAGCCGACGGGCGGCGGGAAGATCGAGGTTTTACTTACCGGTCCTCTGTCTCATATTCCTGTCTGCCCCCGTTGGTGCTGGTGGGATCAGCTCGGAGGTTCTGCCAAGCCGATGGAGCATGGAGTGGGACCCAGCCAAGCTGCATTGGTAACAAGATGGGGCTTTATTGGGGGAACAAAATAATAAAAATGCCTCTGCCTTTTCTGGGCGGTGTTAAGGGAATGATTTCCCATTTGGTCTACTCCAGGAAGTTTTCCAACTTTTATATATTAATATTCCCTGGGAAGGTCCCACCAAAATGCTAATCTGATCCAATCCTATTTAATTCCCCAGTTTTCGAATCACAACCACAATTGGGACCAGGATTTTTGTTGCTTAACGAGGTTGTTCAATGAGTCGACCCGATTTTACAACCGTTTTGCCAAAGTTGTTAAAGGAATCATTGTGATTAATAAGAGAAGCATGTGGTCATTAAGTCAATGTGGCTCCCTTCATTGACTTTGCTGCTAGGAAACCAGTTGGGAAGGTTGCAAATGGCGACCAGGTGACCCTGGGATACTGAAAACCATTGTAAATACATGCCAGTTTCCCCTAGTGCCCAAATTTTGTTTACATGACCACGGGAATGCTGCAACAGTCATAAGTGCGAGGACTGGTTACTTTTTCCAATGTCTTTGTAACTTCAAATGGCCACTAAACAAATGGTTGTAAGTCAGGGACTACCTGTAATTGCCTAACCAATTCCACTAAAAGCAGGAGACAGACATTTGATACAAAATATGTTTGAAAGAAAAACTGTGTCACAGAAAGTTGGGTCCAAAGTTTAACTCTGGTTTTGGTTTTTTGTTTTTTTTTAGAGTTTAGACCAGGGAAATTTGGATTTTAAAAAGCCTGCATTTACAGATGAAAACAGGGTGAATTGCATTATTTTTTAAAATTTATACTAGAATTACTGTGCAGCAATGAGAGAAAGATGTGTATAAAGCTTTACAACGTACTTCACAATGCACTGCATAGTTAACCTTACCTTAACCTAACCTTACACACAAATCTCCCAGTCTGATGCTACCGCCTGTACAATAGACTGCACTTTTACGTTTGGAACTTCTTTTAGTACTGTTTTCATTTGGGTGAGTTTTAAATAGGGACAATTTTTAACGATTTTAAAGAGCCACAGCTACCAATATTTGGGTTTTAATTGGTTTTTAGTAGGGGAAATTTTTTGTATGATGTTTTAATACGCTGTGAGCCGCCCTGAGTCCCATGGGGAGAAGGGCGGCATATAAATCCTGTTAAATAAAATAAATAAATAAATAAATTATATTTTTTTCTTAATTACTTGTAGATCCCATTATGGATTTGGTTGCTTCAGATGAGCCAGTACAGTATAAATGACCCCAAAGTCAAGTCTCAGTTATGCTCACAGTTGGGATATGTTGTCAGAATCCAATTATATTTCATTTCTAGTTACCTACTATGGAAAAAAACCCATTTCTGCTCTCTCTGGATTCTGTCATACTACGAAGGGGAAGGGGGATGAGCAGGGGGGTTTTATGGCTCGCACTTCCTTCAGTAAACTACAAAAGGACTGGATGTTGATTCCCATCAAGAGGACTGACCATAACAATATGGCCATTGCCTTTCATCTACTCAGCTCTCTGAAGTCTTCCTTTTGCCGGCAGTGAGGGAAAAGGGGGGAGAACAATGCAACGCCTGGGATCTGGGAAAAGAGAGGATGAGTGATCGTCGCCCGGAAGAACTGTGGGGTGGGGGCTGCTTGGGAACACTTAAAACATTGAAGGGTGGGAGAGAACTCCTCAGATCCTGTCTAGAATGCCTGCAACCATCTTCTCTTAATAAAGATGCCTGTTGGAAGAGATATTCCAAAAGTTCTGTCTTCTTAAGATGTAAAGTGGGGTGGGTCCTTACATATGTAGTGGTCTGGGAGCCTTTGGATGGCTTCTTTCCTTCTGCCACGCTTTGTGTAAACTCATCTCGAGGTTGTGTCTGCTCAACCACCCACTTGCTTTGCTTCAGGTCCCTTCTGAAGACCCACCCAGCAATTCCCTTGAACCAGAAGGGCCGAAATCTTCACCTTTGGGCCATGAAGTGGTCTCAATGAGGCAGAGCAGAGCAGAGTTCTCACACACACACACACCCAAAAAAAATTGATGAAGCACTTACCTCTTTTTTTTCAGATGCAAGTGTTACAACCTGCATGGATCCAGGTGTGCCCCTTTTTGGAATTCAAAACAATTCCCAAGGTTATCAGGTAATATATGACCGTCTCCCCCTCCCCTCCCTCCTTCCTTTTCTCCTTCGCCCTGAACAATCTTCTTTATCTGTATAATATAGCCGAAATTGCTAAATTGTCATCCTTCATCCAGAAACTGAATATATTCATTCTCCTTTTATGCAAAACACAGGCTGTGATGATCTCTCTTTGGAGAGTTGCTATCTCTTGATTAAGCTGTTTTGTGAGGGAGACAATAGGAGGATTTTGCCCGAGGGATCTCTGATTAATTCAGAGGTGGTCCTTGATGATGCTTGTGCTTCTAATGGAGACAGAATCAAACAGACGTCTAGCCTGTATCTTGCCTCCCATAGTAAATAACAAGGCATCTCAAGTGAAGGAAGTCTATCCAGGGAGTCCTAGACTTACAACTGCCACTGAACCCACAATTCCAGTTGTAAGTCAGGGTGGTCCTCTTATGACCAGACCCGATTTTGTGACCTTTTATGTGGCAGTCATTAACTGCTAGCATAAAGTGAATGCCAGGGTCATTAAATGAATACCACATTCATTAAGTGAACCCATTGTTTTCTATAGGAAAGTTGTTGTTGCCAGAAACCAGAAGGAAACACCAGTTTCCTGCAAAAGCATCATAAATTCCAGTATTGTGACTGGGATGCTGCACGCGGCCATCAATTTGGGCTGGCTGCTGAGCAACAAAAATGTCATGTGACCAAGGGCCCAGATATCAGAACTGACACAGATGGCCTCTTTGACCCCTCTTTCAAACCAGCGGTCCTCTCTGTCCAAAATGTGGACTTTGCTGTCTTCGAAAAAGTGGCTTTTAAATGCAGATGGACTGCCAAATCTTGTCCTGGTGGGTTTGTTCTCCTATGTTGTGCCATGCATTTGTGAAGTGGTTGTTTTGTTTCCCCATTGTACAGATCTGCCAATGTCTCACTGCATTGTATTGCATTTACCACATTGCTCAGTTTATGCCTGGGTGTTTTCTCCTTGGGGTGGACAAGCTTCTGCCTTCGTGTATTGTTGGGTATAAAGTGTGCAGATATGTTGTGTTGGCTGAAGACTCTCATGTGAGACATGTGCAGATCTGTACATTGGTGAAACAAAACAACCACTTCATCTGCATTTAAAGGACAAAGGCCACTCGTTTGAAGACAGCAAAGTCCACATTTTGGATAGAGAGGGGTCAAAAGGGGTCAAAGAGGCCATCTGTGTCAAAACTGAACAGCCCTCTCTCAACAGAGGGGGAGGGATACGACATCATCTATCTCCAGTCTACAAGACAGTCCTTTCAGCAGTTCCAAGAAGGCTCCACACACATTTGCACTACTCAGGTGACACTGAGGACACAGACAAACCTCCAAGTGGCCTCAATGACTAAAATAATACAAATAATCAGCTGTCTACAGCCAGTTTGCACCAGTTCGGCAGAACCAGTAGCTAATTTTTTGTTGCCCAAGCCCAGAATGGACTTCCGGAAGCGGCATTCACACAGGTTGTTCACATATTTGAATCCCATTACTGCTACAAGGAATACAAATCCTTCTCATCCTTCTTGGATGAGAACTGAAATGTCTTTAAAAAAAACAATAAAGTCCAGTTGTCTCTTGAAAAAGCACCTTTGGGACAATCATGACCTGGATTACCGAGAATTTCCATAGACATTCCACAGGGCAACACTTTGTTACACATTCCACTAGTTTTTGTGGTTTTGTCAATCACAAACCAACCTTTCAAGTCTGAGTCATTCAAGAGCTGAAGGCGCTTCATCACACTTGCCATAAATCATGTTCAGATCTGGCTTGGTTCCTTTTTCAAGGGCAGGTCTGGAGGGTAACATGTGAGGTTCCACGGGCTCCATCTTTAATTAGATAAGTTGCTTTAACTAGGCGAGTGATTATATTCACGCAACATGCTAACTGTGCATGGTTTCCCATTGCGATAGGTTGGAAGTATCATCTTCTTCAAGTGTCATAAAGGATATTTGCTGCAAGGGTCCACCACCAGAACCTGCCTTCCAAATCTGACATGGAGTGGAATTCAGCCAAACTGCATCCGTAAGTCTTAGCTTCCTTGGTGCTGGCAGAAAAAAGTTGATGCCCTTGAATCTCAACCTTGGACGCTTGAAGATGGGTGGACTTCACCTCCCAGAATCCCCCAGCCGGCATGGCAACTGGGATATTCTGCAAGTTGTAGGCCATACATTTTCAAGTGGCTGAGGTTGAGCATTGCTCTGTGCTAAAATCCAGGTGTGCAGTATATGCCCAGTGCCAGATCTTAATTTTTGAAGCCTGGATAGATAATGTGGAAATCAGAAAATACAAACCAGCCTGCACAGACGAATTCCAGAAAGCAAGGATGAATGCGTGAAGCGTTTGAAGGCGTTGTTTCAGAAAATGCCTCCTTCTGAATCAGGCCAGCTTTTGCCTATAGACAGGCTTCAATCTTCACCCAACCAGCAGCCTTTCCCAACCTGGCGCTCTTCAGGTGAAATACCTGACATTTCCAAATAACACCAGCAATCTGCTGGGAATTCTGCAGGATGTAATCCAAACAGATCTGGAGGATACCATGTTTGGAAAGCTATCTTCCACCCTTTCTTAGGTCTGGTAATGGTGGGTGCATGAGGTGCTTTCTTCTATGTCAGTGGTGGCGAACCTATGGCACACGTGCCAGAGGCGGCACTCAGAGCCCTCTCTGTGGGCACCTGTGCCGTTGCTCCAGCCCCGCCTCCTCCCTCTCCTCACTAGCAGCCCCCCCAGAGGAGAGTCGCCCCTGAGCGTAGCCCGTGCAGAGCAGCACAGCCAAGGACATGGCAGCTGGGCAGCGGGAACAAGACTCCGCTGTCACGCCCCATTGCACGCAGTTGATGCTGTGGGGCATGGGTGGAGGGGGGATGCCAAGGCACTGCTGGGCCGCCTGGGTGATCTGCAGCAGATCACCGTGGAGGCGGTGGATGGCCCCTGTGGGTGGGCGTGGGGTGCGGGGACAGAGTGGGGGTGCGGGGGACGGAGTGGGGGGCGGGGCAGGCCCGGGTTTTGGGCACTCGGTCTCTAAAAGGTTCGCCATCACTGTTCTATGTCTTTGCAGCACACAACTGCAAAGAACCAGATACCCCTGCCCATGCCAACGTGGGCTCTCTGGACCTGCCTTCGCTGGGGTACACCTTGATCTATTCATGCCAGAGTGGCTTTTATCTCACCGGAGGATCAGAGCATCGGACTTGTAAGGCTGATGGTAGCTGGACAGGGAAGCCTCCCATTTGCCTGGGTAAGCAAAAGACAGCTCTATGTCTACTAAACGTCTTATTCTTTCCACTTGAAATCCATCGGCTGCATTTTAGCCATGGGTTTCATGGACAAATCACTCTGTTTCTGTCCCCTGTTCCCCAGACAAAGAGGATTAAAAAACTGCCTTGTTAGCTCAGACCCCAGAGCCCATTTGACTCGCCACTTTTCCCCCCAGTGGGAGCCAGAACGTTAAGGCAAGAGTTCTCTGTGTCTACTAGAGCAAATAAAATTACAATCACAAATCTCCTGGATCACCAAACTAACAAATTTTGTAAGAAGCTGTGGTCTTCCTGTCTCTTGCGTAACAGGAGAACAATTCAAAAAAAGGGCTGCCCAAAGAAATAAGGATATATAGAAGCACAAAATGATACAGCGATCCTTAGTAAGGTGGGTAACTTGAAATGGCTGAGTAAATATAAGTGTACTTTTCAAGTAGACAGCTATTTGAAGTTACAACTGCCAAAACACCTTAGGAAGGTATTTACACGAGCAAGATTCGAACAGCTTGACACAATGGTCAGATATGGGAGATTCCATTCTATACCTTACAATGAGTGTCTCTGCATTTGCGGAGCGGCAGAGGTAGAAGACCTGGCTCACATACTATTTGATTGTTGCATGTACAAGAGGGTGAGAGACAGATACCTCGGTCTATATACCAAACGAATGACTCATTGGGATCCCCATATCAAAACAACTTACCTCATGTGCAGCCAGAACTTGAAAATAACATTTAACACAGCACAGTATTTAAACAAAATGGTTCGGTTGAGATCTGCATATGTGGGACTGATTGGGGTAGATTACAAGGGTTGACTCCAAAATATAATTTTATCATATTTTATCTATATCTTAAATTATTGTACTCTATTTTAATTTCATTTTAGACTGTATTTTATTCAAATTTTATTTTAAGTCGTATTTTATTCTAATTCCATTTTAAATTGTATTTTATCAAATTCCATTTTAAATTGCTTTTATCAAATTTTAGTAATAATTTGTTGCTGGAACTTTGTACTTTGATATGACCCAAGGGCTAATCAATAAAGACTTATTTACTCTTATGATTCTTAACATATGTCTTCCTCTGTCGATGTTAAGCCTTTATATCAAATTGCCACTAGCATATCTTACAGCAGTGGTGGCGAACCTTTTTTAGTAGTTTTCTCGTACTAGTGAAATTGGCCAAAAAGTGACAGGATGAGGAGGGAATTTAACTTCACTCAATTCCAACTAAATATAAATGTGAAATAATTGTAATTGTGGAGAATATAATTATTATAAATTAATATAATGTCTGTGCGTGTTATGTTCTTCTGCTGATCTATTAATAATTAGCATTTGGTAGACCAATGGTGGGGAATGGCACGGGTGCCAGAGGCGGCACTCAGAGCCCTCTCTGTGGGCACGCGCGCCGTCGCCCCAGTCCTAGGCCTTCAGCTGGGTTTTATAAAACCTTTTCGCTTTAGGCCTCTGCTGCCATGTGCAAAAAAAAAAAAAAGATTCAATCAGTCAATTTCAACTTCTCGCGGGGAAAAAAAAGATCTTGCAAAGTTGGAATTGATTGATTGAACTTTTTAGTCCCACCCAGTCTGCCGTTAACACCGCAGCCACGCCCACCCAATTGGCCACACCCAGCCAATGGGCCACACCCACCCGGCACTCGATGATGCATAAGTGGGTTTTGGGTTGCAGTTTGGGCACTCAGTCTCTAAAAGGTTCGCCATTACTGTCTTACAGCTTAAGTAAATAAGGGTATTCTTTTTTCCCCACATTATGAAATCTAAAATTTTTGAATTTCCCCAGTTCAAATATTGAAAAGAAAAAGTGGGGAGATCCCTCTTCACTTTTCTCTCGCAGCATTCATAATTATAGACACCGTAGGAAGAGAGTCTTTTTGGTCTACAGAAGCAAACAAATCAGTCCAGTAACGTTTTTTTTTCTGACGAACATGCTTAACTATGTTGAATTAAAATGATTAAATATTAGCAAGTTTGATCTAGTGGTAAAGGCATCATGAGAGAAATCGGGAGACTCTGAGTTCTAGTCTCACTTAAGGCACAAAAGATGGCCAGGCTTCATATATATATTCAACCTAGGAACTGGAAGGTATGCTCACTGCCTTGAGTTATTTATAAAAAATAACAAAGGGTTAAAAAAATAATTTAAAATGGGGGCAGTTCCAAAGGTAGTGGTGGCATCCACACAATATTATAGCTTGATTAGCTTATTTTTCAGAAAGGAAGTCATTCAATTAATTCATAGTTCCATATATTCTTCCAGAAAGTGGGTTAACTCAGAACTAAGTTGATGAGGGTAAGTGATCATTGTGGCCAGATATTTTATATTCACCTGTTATTAAAGATGTTTATGTCACCTTATTAAGGTATAAACTCTTGCTTTGATCCTCCTTTTAAGCGGATGTCCGACCCAGCAGACGGCCTACGGGGGCTGCAAAGGACCAGCATCTTCCAAAAGTCTCAGGTATCTCTTTTTCCTACCTACCAAATACATAAAAAATACATTAAAAATAAAACAGCATAGCAAATTACTGGGGTTTCAAGGCCTGTAAATATATGAACACACTGTCAATTTTATTAAATGATTAAAAGCTCAAACCATTTTTTAATGGATTTTTAATATTTTTAATGGATGAGACTCTTAATTAATGGCATTTCTTTTGATTGTTTTGAAGCAACAAAGCTTGATTATAAAAAGCATTGAACAAATAAGAATTCTAGGGAATTCTGGGAGTTGAAGTCCACTCATCTTAAAGTTGATACGGTGGAGAAACATTGTTCTGTTTGACTTCTGCACTTGTTCCAAAATCTCCTCCTTGTCTTGTTCTGCCTTGGATTATTTCTAGTTCCTGCTGATGTCTTTGCCAAAAATTCCTTCTGGAAAGGCTCCTATGAATACATGGGCAAAAAGCAGCCAGCCATGCTTTCTGTCACCAGCTTTGATCCAGTCACCAGTAAAGTAAATGCCACTCTGATGGACCACAGTGGTGTGGAGCTGCAAGTCTCTGGTAAGGCAGCCAATTGGGGGTTTTCTGCATTCCTGGTGGGAGAAGGGGAGATGGTGCCGCCTTGATGTCCACCCCACCCACGTCTGCCTGGACAATCAAGCTGAAACACATGTCTAATGTGCAAAGCAAATAAATGATTAAAGACCCTGAGGATACTTCCTAGATAATAATTCTCCACCTGAAATTCTGGGATTGCAGTCATACTAAGGTTAACACAAACTAAGGTTAACATGCTACTATAACCAAACAAATAAGCTATGGTATAGTTTACTGAGATGGGTTATGTATACCAGAAACTACGATGGGTTTTATATAGCACAAACTATGACTCACACTTGAGTTTTCACAATATACCAAACCCGATTGATACAGAAAGGATGTTGAGACCTGGAAAGTGTGTAGAGAAGAGCAGCAAAGATGATAAAGCATCTGGAGGCTAAATCGTATGATGAATGATTGAGGGAATCAGGTATGTCTAGCCTACCAAAGAGAAGGGTTGTTGTTGGTTGCAAAGTTGTGTCCGACCCATTGCGACCCCATGGCAACATTCCTCCAGGCCTTCCTGTCCTCTACCATCTTCTGGAGTCCATTTAAGCTCACGCCTACTGCTTCAGTGACTCCATCCAGCCACCTCATTCTCTGTCATCCCCTTCTTCTATTGCCCTCGATCTTTCCCAGCATTAGGCTCTTCTCCAGTGAGTCCTTCCTTCTCATTAGGTGGCCAAAGTACTTGAGTTTCAACTTCAGGATCTGGCCTTCTAAAGAGCAGTCGGGGTTGATCTCCTCTAGGACTGACCGGTTTGATCGCCTTGCAGTCCAGGGGAAGGGTTAGAGGGGACATGATAGCTGTCTTCCAGTACTTGAAGGGCTATCATAAAGAAGAGGGATTTGACTTATTCTATAGGGCCCCAGAGGGCAGGACACAAAGTAAGGAGTGGAAGCTTGTCAAAGAGAGATACAACCTAGAAGTAAGGAGAAATTTCCTGACAGCAAGAACAATTGATCAAGGGAGTAGCTTGCCTCCTGGGGTTGTGGGCACTCCATCACTGAAGGTTTTCAAAAATAAAGTGGACAACCATTTGACTGGGATGGTATAAGACTTGCTTCTTGAGTAGGGGGTTGGACTAGAAGACCTCTGAGCTTCCTTCCAGCCCTATGATTCTAATTTTATCCTAAACTGACTTTCACAATTCCTGTCTGGATGGTTAGAATCTTTGCATCTTGGGCCTCACCCACTTAATTTTTTTTTTAATCTGCAATTTTAACCATGTTCCCAACTGGAGACAACTCTTTGAAGGCCTTTGCCATCTTCCCTGCATTTTCATTCTGCTGAATAATTTAATGCTACCTGCAGGCTTTGGAAACAACTAAATGCATGTAATACAAAGTTGGATGCAGTCCTGCTCTAACTTCGCAGAGCATCCAAGAACACTGAGATCTTGTCTTCTCAAACTGCAATTAAACTCTCCCTCCCCCCCCCAAAAAAAAATTCTCCAGAGCTTCCTCCTCCTTGACGAAAGGACTGCCTTATCTTCTCTCTCCAGGTATTTACAAAAGAGAAGATGTCCATCTTCTCCTCCAGGTACACCAAATTACAGGACCACTGGAGATCTTCACGAACAAATTCAAGAATGATAAGTGGGCATTGGATGGACACGTAAGTCTTTGCCTTGAAACGTTTCAATGACGAGCAGAGGAATTGGGAACATAACACGGGAGAATGTGGGAGCTATTTGCAATGGTGGTTAGGATCAGCAAAATCTAAGATTAATATTCCCCAACCTGATGCCCTTGGGGTTGTCCCAAAGGTGCTTTTTCAGGAGGCAACAGGACTTTCTTTGAAAATGTTTTGCTTCTCATCCAAGAAGCTTCTTCAGCTCTGACCAGATGGTGGGGAAATCACCTGTACCTATAACTGATTTGTTTTGTTTTGTTTTGCATTTGGGTTTTGCAGTATTTTTTTTTCATTTTCCACTCCAAATGCAGGTCACCCCAGAAGCTTCAAGTGGGACCTTTGTCTACCAAGGGTTTGTCCATGGCAAAGGTTTTGGACAATTTGGTCTCCAAAGACTAGGTAAGATGACTAACTTTACAACTGAAGTTGCCCCAAAACAATAACTTTTAGTAATTTATATAAGCAATGTGGCAACTCTTAAGGTTTTTCATTTATGTTTTAGCGTGTATCAGCTGTTGTATGTAATTATTTTTCATTCAATTATTTTTTTTTTACCTTTTCAGTTTAAATTTTTGTGATCAGGTGAAACTGATGCTTCAACTTGTATTTAAATAAATTCCAAGTTACCATTTCCGGAATTTTGCCAAATTCTATCTGCTCACCATCCCCGTTCAACCGTTAATATAATCATTTTGTCAATGTTATTCACACATATGTAAGGTGGTTCTAAACTATTCGTTGTATGCATAATGTTAAGTGTGAACATATTTTCTTCCTTGTTTGGGGGGGTCTTGAGTTACAAATCAAACAAATAAAAGGAACATTTGTCTATTCGTTCTGGGGGGAAAAAAAACCATAGAAGGCCATTCAAAAGCTAAACTCTAACTTTACATTTTGTTTTGTCTCATAAAAAAAAACCAAAATCTTTCTCCTTGAAGAATGAGAAAAGTGACTGTGACTTAATGGATACGTCTACCAGTATTTTGTCCAGCCTACCGGCTCTCATGTTTTAATTCAACTACTATTCTCATTAACCCCATCAGACATCCAGGAATTAAATCTGAGATTTAAGTATGTTGTTATATTTATATGCAGCAGACAGTTAGAACAATTAGAACAATTAACAGTTAGAACAATTAACCAGTGGAACAACCTGCCTCCAGAAGCGGTGAATGCACCAACACTGGAAGTTTTTAAGAAGAGACTGGACAGCCATTTGTCCGAAATGGTGTAGGGTTTCCTGCCTGAGCAGGGGGTTGGACTAGATGACCTCCAAGGTCCCTTCCAACTTTATCATTATTATTATTATTATTATTACTTGTGTTGAGACAGCCTCTGGCCTCCCCTAGCCAATGGTACTCAGGAGCAGTAATTTAATGGTTTTCCTTTTTCCAGATAGCAGCATCATTGAACGGGACCCTGAATCAACAGGATATCCATTTGCATCCAACAGCAGCTCAGTTGCAGCTGCCATCCTCGTGCCTTTCATTGCCCTGATGATTGCAGGGTTTGTGCTCTATCTCTACAAGCACAGGTGAGATGTTGCAGGTAGAAAAGGCAGGAAATAACCTCTTAGGGCCTCCTAACAAGAATTGTAAGGATATTTAGGGTTTTCTGGTCCCTTGTCCTCTGGATTAAACCACATTTCTCGCAATCCCCATGCAGCATAGCCCTGTCAGGTAGTAAAAGCTACCTATACCTAAAATAGCTATAGTAACAGAATCTTGCAAGTCTGAATGTGCTACCTGTTAATGCTGCTAACATTGGATGTTCTTGCTTTGACAACATATGAAGATGCAGCCTTTTTCTTTCTTATGCTTTACTCTTAGAATTAGATGGTGCTGGGGGAGGAGGCGGAATGTGGTGGGAGTTAGTTAGACATAACAATATTGTGAATTCAGAGCTTGAAATAAGAGATGATAAGAATTGGCCGGGTTGCAGAACAAGAGGGAAAGCCTGCATTTCAAACTAATTGGAGAATGTGATTTATGACTGTTAATTGGAGGAGGGAATGGTGCTTTGATACTATGTGCTCAGGGGAGGGGAATCCAGTTTTTGGCTTCAACTATGTTAGTGCCAAAGCTATGCTATCCCATAAAGATTCTTTAAGGTAAACAATGCCTTGAAGTTCTTTGAAGAGTTTCATCTGTTGGAACAATGACACACCTTTCTTTCCACTTTTCTCTCTATGGGAATTGGAGGGATGGGGGACTTGGAATACTGCATCCAGTTTTGGTCACCATGATATGAAAAAGATGTTGAGACTCTAGAAAGAGTGCATAAGATGAGCAACAAAGATGATTAGGGGACTGGAGGATAAAACATAGGAAGAACAGTTGCAGAAATTGGGTATGTCTAATATAAGAAAAAGAAGGCCTGGGGGTGACATGATAGCAGTGTTCCAATAAGGGGCTGCCACAAAGAAGAGGGAGTCAACCTATTTTCCAAGCCAGCAAAGGCAGAACAAAAAGCAATGGATGGAAACTAACCCAGGAGAGAACCAACCTAGGAGAAATTTCCTGACAGTTAGAACAAATTCATCAATGGAATGACTTGCCTCCCGAAGTTGTGGGTGTTGTGGAGGTTTTTAAGAAAAGATTGGACAATCATTTGTCTGAAATGGTATAGGGTTTCCTGCCTGAGAAGGGGGTTGGACTAGATCTCCAATTTCCCTTCCAATTCTGTTACTCTGTTATTCTGTCTTAGGGCATTTCTGCAAATGCCCATGGTCAAGTTTAGTTGATCTGATTATTGCCTTGATTGTGAACCTTCTTTCTGTCCTTCAAGGACACCCTCTTTATTCACTACATTAGTACTGAAAGCTGCCATGGGAAATAGTACCCATTTCTTTCATACTTTCTAGGAGCCAACCACCTTTGTACCTCTTGTCATGGTTCCGCTAGATAAAACTCTTCAAAAGAACTTCGAGGCATTGTTTACCTTAAAGAATATTTTATTCGAGAAACAAAGTATCGGCACTACATAGTTGAAACCAGAAACTAAATTTCTCTCCCCTGGATACAAAGTAACAAAGTGCAAATCCCTCCTCCAATTAGCTGTCATAAATCACATTCCCCAATTAGCTTGAAGCGTGGGCTTTCTCCCCAGCTCTCCAGCCCGCCAAAACTCTATCAACTGTGGGCCCAATGTCCTTGGGTTCCCACAGCTAGGTTATTATTGTTATGACTAGCTGGACTCTCATCCCTATTCCCCTTCCCAGCAGCAACTAATTCTAAAAGCAATAGAGAAAAATGACTGCATTTCCATCTGTTGTCAAAGCAAGAACATCCGATGTTAGCAGCATTGACACCTCTCCAGCTAGAAATTTCCTAGAACTAAGGAGTAATTTCTTAACAGTGAGAACAATTAACCGGTGGAACGGCTTGCCTGCAGAAATTGTGGGTGCCCCAATGCTGGAGGCTTTTAAGAAGAGACTGGACATCTACTTGTGTGAAATGGCATAGGGTCTCCTGCTATGGGAGCATGGGACATTGGACTAGAAGACCTATAAGGTCCCTTCCAATTGTTAATTAGTAGATGAATATACTGTGTAGCAGAGCTAGGCTACTGCCAAAGTTAAATTGCACTTTGGGGACCTTCATTTCAATTAATTTGAACAAGAGAGGGAGAAGACACAAACAGAATGTTTACAGATTTTAATGCATTGTAGTTTCTTTGTGTACCTGTCCTGTAGAGCCCCTCCCCTATGACATCTTTGTCCTCTCTGAAACAGAAGGAGACCGAAGGTGCCGTTCAATGGCTATGCCGGCCATGAAAACACCAATGTCCGAGGAACATTTGAAAACCCAATGTATGACCGCAATTTGCAGCCAACAGACATCATGGCCAATGAGGCAGAGTTTACCGTCAGCACTGTGTGTACTGCAGTATAGCACTTACAATTCTGTGTGCAGTAAGTATCACACTCCTATACAAACCTCCCACATATGCTTTTCAGCTACTACCGGGACCCATCAAATTATCATTAGCCTAGCATTTAATTTGAAAAGGGTTGGCTAATAATAATCACTATTATTCACATCTTAGTAAGAGAAAATGACTGTCACCGCTGCAGTGATCATTTCTGACCATAAGAAAGCTGAAACATTATTCAGATCCAAGCTTTGGAGATATTTTTTTTTAATTATCAGCAATATTTTGTAAGATAGGACAGCTTAAAGAATAATATACTGTACATCATCCATCCACCCACATATCCACCTGTCCATCCAGCCATCCATCTCTCTTTATTCTCTGAAGTTTTTTATTTGGACATTTTCCAAGCTCAACTGTGAGATTTTTTTTTGCATACTCAAAAAGTCCTTTCTTTTCCCAAATAGTCTATCTAGGAAGCGTTTGGTTAGGAAATTTATCTTGCTGGAGAACACTTTTTGGTTCTTCCTAATTATGATCCATATACAAGTCGTGTATATGTTCCCACAACTTGCTTAAATTACTAAATTAACACATTATCTGTGAAGGCACTACACTAAGCCATAAATCAGCCAAATGATATTTTAAGGTACAAAAAAACAAACCAAGGTTAAAAATAACCAGATTCATCATACTGTGTCAATCAACGATTCAGTTTGTAACAACTTGCCAAGTTGAATCCATGTTGACCTTGATTAGTTTCTTCAGGGCTTAGCACATTTTGCAGATCCTGCCTCTTTGATTAACTTATGGTTTAATATGTTCTACCAACCCAGAAAATGGCTTAAATCAATAAACACATTAAGGGTGATGCAGAATTACACAGCCAGCATGTCTAGACAGTAACTGAAGAGTTTTATATTTCTTCAGGATATCCATCCATCCATCCATCTTTTAAAAAATAAAAACACAACATAAGTTACATTTAAAGTAACTTAACGGAAACAGCGGTTCATTCAAGTCAAAGCTGCTTTGTGATAGAAACCAATTTCTCCCTCCCCCTCCCCCTCTGTGTGTATGTATGTGTGTCCCTTCTCTTCTTTGTGCAGCCTTCTCCAGAGACGGGAATCTCACCAGTGCCCAATGATCCTCCTGGCTCATCTTCGCCCATGATCTTCTCACCCAGAAACGTTGGGATTGTGGAGTTGATATGGTGCCTTTGAGCTGATCCAGAGAGAGACAGAGAGAGAGAGACTGCCTTGCTGTTTGTCACTGCTCTGCATCTTCATTGCCCATCGTCCTGCCCTCCTGCAACTGATAATCAGATCTACCAAAGCATCCACCCCAGCCCTTGTGCCAAGAGCCCAAGATGTGGAAATCTTCCCTCTTCCCTCTACTCCAGAGATGCTCCTCCCCATCCTTGAGCCTTTTTCTATCAGTTCCTGGCCAACCTTTGGACTGGCTGACTGCTGCTCAAAGACCATTGATTGTCCCACTGTTTGCCTGTGGTCGATAAACACCTTTCTGGGGGACGCTTCAAGGCAGTCTAAGAAAACCCACACGCCCTGGCTGCCAGAAGAAGCTACACAAGAGGAAGCAGGCACATGCTGGTTGAGGAGACCTGTAGATGCAGAGAACCTGGGCTAAATGTATCCAGCGTATCCAACTCATACAGCAAGTTTAGCATCTGGAGAAATGCTCCTTAGATATATGTTGGTTCTCCTCCTCTCCCTTCCCCACCCTTATATATTTATTTCATATTAATATTCTAGGGCAAGAATGTCATGTTTCTGACCATCCTTGCAATCCTCTGAGAAGGCTTCCATTCCTACCCTCCAAGTTGCATATTTTTTTTTAGAGCATTTGCTTCTTAGGTTTTTTAAAACTGGCAACCCTTCCCGTCCCCAATTCCAATGATTAGATCAACTCAGGACCACTTCTTTCAGACTAAATGGTCATCTTTGCTTAGTTGATCCAGGGAAAATACAGAACTTCCTAAGTAGTACAGTTCTTGGCATAAGAAATGGGCCTTCCCCTTTACAGAATTGGGAGAATCCAATTATTGCTATCTCTGTCCCAGCCCATGCATTTCTTGGAGGTCTGCTACAATTTGTCAGCCACTGATCTGCAGTATTTTCTTTCGGGGGGGGGGGGGGAGTAGCATCCCAGCCTAGTGTTTTCATTGCTTTGTGCAATGCTCTTTGGACCTGAGCATCATGAGGATCAGGGACACTTATTCTGTGTCTGTGGACATCACAAATATCCGATGTGACTAATTTATTTTTCTGATTTGTATATATTTCTATATTTCTAAGAAGTCAAGTGCCATCCTAGAAGGTTCAATTCACTTGATGCTCTAGTTTTTGAAATAAAATGGCCGATAACTTTCCCCGCTGCATTATCACATGCTTTCACTTACCTGTTCTGCTTCATCCTTGGCTATATAAACCCACTGCAGGGCTAAACGGACAACTCACCTGTTAGAGAAAGACGAGGTACGGACCTCATTCAGCTATCCCCATCTATTGTTATGAGGATCTTGCAATACTGTTCTGATTAATCTAGGCCTGACATCCAGGGATTTCTCTTGCCTGGTTCTCCTCATGAGACTGCCTTATACCAGTCTTCTTATCTACTGCAGCATTATCTACACCAGTGGCAACAGAAAGGAGCCGGGACTGCCTATGGTCAACCAGCTGCAGGTAATTCATTATCAGGCATTGACCACCATTTCATGTTCTTCAAGATGCCAAGGATGGAGCCTAAGAAATTTTGCACACAAAGTAAAGTCTTATGACCTTTCCCCAATAGCCTGAAAGAAAGTCTCATCTCAGGCTACCTAAGAGTTTTCAAATACAGTCAACAATGCTGCCAACCCTTGACTCTTGACTTCCATCCCATCCCACTGCAAAGATGAGCACAATCTATGCCATGACATCATTGCCCCAAGTCCTTCGCTGCGGCGGAGAAGGGGACAGCACAGCATAATGGGATCAAGAGCAGCATGAACTCAGACATTGCAAAGAACAGGGATCCAGGCCTACACACCAGCAGTGGCCTCACGTCGCTTCTACCATCTAGTCGAGCTTTCAGTATCTAGAGAATATGAAGGAACCCGGGACAGGTTTAAGGCTGACACCCATGTCCCAAAGCTGCTTTTTCCAAAAGGCAACTGGACTTTCTTGGGTTTTTTTTGTTTTTTGTTTTCTTTGAACATTTCATTTCTCATCCAAGAATAGAAAAGAAGTGAAACATTCAAAGAAAAAAAAAACCAAGAAATTCTAATTGCCTTTTGGAAAAAGCATCTTTGGGACAAACCATGTCCTGGATGATTGAAAATTTCCATAGACTGACACCCATGGTACAACTGAAGTGCATTGGGAACAGGAGAGGAATTCTTTCTTGCCCAACTCATTGAGTATGTATCTGCAATTTTAAATATATCCCAGCCAGGTTAACTGTTATGGTTCCGGCTAATGAAACACTTCAAAGAACTTCCAGGCATTGATTTTCCTAAAAGTCATTTATTGTTACAAAATGTCGGCATGGCATAACGAAGGTATGCTAAGATCTAAATTCTCTTCTTCTGAGCAGTTAAATTATCAGCATGTTCCCTCCCTAAATTAGCTGTCATATATCACGTGATCCAATTAGTGTGAAAGTCAAAGGTTCCCTTCCTCTCTCTTTCCAGGGCTTTTCCCTCCTCCCTCTTCTGCTCTGCATTAACTCTAAAATTACCAGACAATTCTGCATATTGTCAAAGCAAGAATATACAGTATTTGCAGCGTTGACATTAACTACAGCAGTGAATAAAAGAGTCAAGATTAGGGCAGCCTGGAAGCTGCTTCTACCTGGTATAATTTTACCAAATAGTTATTCCCCATGGAAGTGGAGTGAGCATCCTGGCCCAAGGCACTTTCACGATGCTCCTCCATCATTTCCATATAAGAATGATCGCTCTGAGAAACTAGTTTGAAAGATATTCCTACATCCTCTAGCTAGTTCACTCTGTGGCTGGGAAAACCAGCAACTTCCGGGAAGTGAGTGCGAGAAAAGAATCCAGCATCACGCAGGTTGTCGAGTTCAGGCTTCTCCAAACCTGTGTCCTCTAAATTGGTTGGGAGTTGCAAGCCAAATACTTGCACGATACAAATTAGGAAAGGTGGTTGAAGCTATTGTAACTCAAAAGGACCTGGAGAAAATGCATCCTAGAAACCCAGTGCTAAAATCATAAAATTTCATTTCACTTTTTGTTTCGTCTCTCTTACTTCTATCCAATATTCTTTTTTCTCTGTTCAACTGTTTATTCATTCTCTCTCTCTCTCTCTCTCTCTCTCTCTCTCTCTCTCTCTCTCTCTCTCTCTCTCTCTCTCTCTCTCTCTCTCTGTGTGTGTGTGTGTGTGTAGAAAGATGAGGAATTGCCGATACCCAAAAAGAAAGAGGAATGATATTCTTCGGAATATCTTCCTGGAGAGTTTGAAGGCCAGCTTAATGCATATGTATTCTGTTGTTCCTCATTAACTGATCAGTTCTGTTCACATAAAAGGTGAGAGTAAGGAGGAGGCACTCGTTTTCATGATTAACAAGGTTTAATATCTCCCTGTTTAGGAAAAAAAAAGCTGGATTTTTCTTCTTGTCCTGCCTTACAATCTTGGAACATCTGTTCTTCCCAGCCTTTTCCAGCAGCAGGTCTGAGCTATCTTGTTGAACGGAGTGTCTTGCATAAAAGGTGGAAGATGTTAGGTTTCTTTGTCACCTTTTCTTCTTAGTCAAATGATTTGACAAAACCCGGGCATTAAATAAGAAGTCATTACACTCATGCATCAATAAGGGCAAGTTCTTAGCTCAGAAATCCATGGTGCTCTCTGAGCTTGGGTGGTTTTTTGCAGATGTTTCATCACCCCAACTCAATCAGTTACCTAGTTTGGGTATCAAAACTTCTGCAAGAAACAAACCAAGCTCAGAGAACACCAAGGATGCTGAGCTACAAGTAGTCTATTGGCAATATGATATTAATAAC